GGGGTTGGGGTAAGGTCATGGGAGAAGGTGCTCAGGCCCTAAAGTTGTTGAACTCAACAGAGTCCCAAGCAGAAAAATGAGGTGCTATTCTTCCAGCTTGCACTGAGCTTCGCTGGAGCACTGCATCAAGCCTGAGTTCCCCATTAGCTGCTATCATTCCCCGAGGATGACCTTTACCCATTCATTTTCCTGCCTAACTGCTTTTTACTCTCTCTGGGCTTCATCCCCACCTATCGTTTACTCCTCCCCTGACCCCATGTTTAGCATATATGTTGACCTTTTCCTGGTTACAATCAGTTCTGAAAAAGGGTCACTGGACCCAAAACATTAACTCTCCTTTCTCTCCAAAGAGAGAATGTTGCCAAAATTGTGTGCTGTTTTTATTTTCTAGAAAGAAAAAGCATGTTCAAATATTGGTTGTAAAAGTATAGGTACACCCCCAGCAATGGGAAAACTCACTTCAACTGAGTCAAGAACCACCCAACTGAGTCCATGTCACATGTGGTACAGGAAAAACGGGAGTGTCAGGCAGTCAACAGTGGGAGGGCAGGGGTGAAAGATCATATGATGAAACCTCCAAGATGCCCTCCGACCTGAGTTGATAACATTACTTGGGCTCCGTAGCAAGGGCATATACAACAGCTTTAGCTTTTGAATACTGAATACTATGCTGCCTGGGATCATTGCAGACATGGGTTGGTTTGTTAACTTAAATCTGTTGTGCGCAATAGTTAGTATTCTCAATGAAAGGAAGCAGTTCTAGTGATATGATATGATGTGTTTAAAATATTCAACCTTTCAAGGATCAGCTGTGGTATACTCCACAATGTTAAAAGGATTGCACACACAGTTTTCTTGACAGCATAACCTTGAAACCCATGAAGAAACAAAGGTCAAATCATTGGCACTCATCAACTTTTAGCAATTCCTGCTAGCAACTGCACCTTGATGTACTTCAGGTTAAACAACATTCTACTCTCAGTTTACTTGCAGTTAAAGATATGAGAAGACAGTGCCTTGTTGCACTCTCACAGAATCCTTGGAGAGTGATTTCCAAGATCAGGATTGGGAACCCAATATCTGGGTAATTTCCAGGTGCCAACCCTGTGCTATAACAGGTCTTGATTTTCAAGAGATTGTCTGTGTGTCATGGAGATAAAACCAACTTTTGTTGGTATTTACATGGATAGACATTTGACATTATATAAAACAACAAGGGCTAGAGAATCCCTCTATGCTATTTCGAAATGCAAATGCCCTAACTGGGCCACTGCTGAGCTCAGCATCTAATTATGGGCACCAAGCTTTAACAGGACGTGGGATCTGTCTGTAGAGAGCAAGTGGCAAAGGCAGATGGCAACTATGATGAGACTTGCTGCTACCCTGAAGGAAGCAGGCAACACCACAGAGGGTCAGGAGCCTAACTGTGAGCATATGTTGCCAAATGGCCAAAATGAGGGCTAATATGCATAATCAACCACCAACTCAGTTCCCTTCCTCGATATCTCTGTCTCCACTTCTGAGGCTAGGGTGGCCACTGATATACACGGCAAACCAACGAACTCCCAGTTCCCTCAACTGTACATCCTCACACCCTGCTTCCTGTAAAGACTTTATTCCATTCTGCCAGTTCCTCTGTCTACGTCGCAACGAAGAGGGTTATCAAAGGTTACAAAGAGATCTTGATCAACTGAGTCAATGGATTGAGGAGTGGTAGATGGAGTTTAATTTGGATAAATGCAAGGTATTGCATTTTGCTAAAACAAACAAGGGCAGGTCTTATACAGTTAATGGTTGGGCCCTGCATGGTATTGTAGAACAGAGAGACCTAGGGGTTCAGGTACATAATTCTTTGAAATTTACATTCCGTGTAGACAGCGTGGATAAAAAGGCATTTAGCATACTGGCCTTTATTGCTCAGACCTTTGAGTATAGGATTTGGGATGTCATGTTGAAGTTGTACAGGACATTGGGGAGGCCCCTTCTGGAGTACTGTGTATAGTTCTAGTTACCTTGTTATAGGAAGGATATTATTAAATTGGAGAGGGTTCAGAAAAGATTTACCAGAATGTTGCCAGGATTGGAGGGTTTGAGATGGGCTGGGACTTTTTTCACTGGAGCATAGGAGGTTGAGGGTGACCTTATAGAGGTTTATAAAATCATAAGGGGCACAGATAACATGAATAGCAAGAATCTTTTCCCTAGGGTGGAGGAGTTCAAAACTAGAGGCCATATATTTAAGGTGAGAGGAGGAAGGTTTAAAAAAGACATGAGAGGCAACTTTTTTTACGCAAAGATTGGTTCATATGTGGAATGAACTGCCAGAGGAAGTGTGGATGCAGGTACAGTTACAACATTTAAAAGACATTTGGATAAATATATGAATAGGAAAGGGTTGGAGGGATATGGCCCAAATGCAGGCAAGTGGGACTCGTTTGGTTTGGGAACATGGTTGGCATGGACGAGTTGGACCGAAAGATCTGTTTCCGTGCTGTATGACTCTATGACTACGATCCACTGTAGTGAAAACACTTCCACTTATCCTTAAATTAAAGCTGACAGATAACATTATAGAATTGTACAGCCCAGAAATAGCCCCTTTGGTTCAACTCATCCATGCTGACATGATATCCTAGATTAATCTAGTCCACATTGTGTATGAAACTGCTTGGGTTTGTTGATCTTCACATTGAAAATTATCTTTACATCAACCCAGTTAACAAACTCTTCAAGGAGCTTAACATTAACTGGGGGCAAGCAGCTCCCTGTCACTCCTGGAGCAGTGCCCCAGGGGTGTTAGGATTCAGTGCCAGCCTCCACGAACACAAGTTTCAAATCGAGCTCACACCTACTCCCAGTGGTATATGAGCATCCAAACTCTTGTCTTTGTCTGTTTTAAGCCTTTATTCAAAAGATGTTCACTCAAAAGATTGGCTGTGTGGAGCGGGGAGATAAGACCAACTTTTGCTGGCGTCTATAAGGGCATTTGATATTATATAAAAACTTTTAAAATTTATTCATTTTGAGAGATGTGGGTGCCTCTGGCTGGCCAGCATTTATTGCCTATCCCTAGTTGCCCTTGAGAAGGTGGTGGTGAGCTGCCTTCTTGAACCGCTGCAGTCCACCTGCTGTGGATTGACCCACAAAGCCATGAGGGAGGGATTTCCAGGATTTTGACCCAGCAACAGTGAAGGAATGCCAATATATTTCCAAGTCAGGATGGCGAGTGGCTTGGAGGGGAACTTGAAGGTGGTGGTGTTCCCATATATCTAATGCCCTTATCCTTCTAAATGGAAGTGATCGTGAGTTTGGAAGGTGCTCTGAGGATCTTTGGTGAATTTCTGTAGTGCATCTCATAGATAGTACACACTGCTGCTACTGAGCATTGCTGGTGGAGGGAGTGGATGGTTGTGGATTCAGTGCGAATCAAGCGGGCTGCTTTGTCGAGGATGGTGTCAAGCTTCTGGAGTGTTGTTGGGGCTGCACTCATTCAGGCAAGTGGGGAGTATTCCAACACACTCCTGACTTGTGCCTTGTAGATGGTGGACAGGCTTTGGGGAGTCAGGTGGTGTTACCCACCACAGTATTCCTAGCCTCTGACCCGAGTCCAGTTGAGTTTCTGATCAATGATAACCCCCAGGATGTTGATAGTGGGGGATATAGTGATGGTAACACCATTGAATATCAAGGGGCAGTCGTTAGATTGTCTCTTACTGGTGATGGTCATAGCCTGGCATTTGTGTGGCGCTAATGTTACTTGCCACTTGTCAGCCCAAATCTGGATATTGTCCAGATCTTGTTGCATTTAGGCACAGACTGCTTCAGTGTCTGAGGAGTCGCGAATGGTGCTGAACATCGTGCAGACATCGGCGAACATCCCCGCTTCCGACCTTATGATGGAGGGAAGGTCATTGATGAAGCAGCTAAAGATGGTTGTGCCTGGAACACTACCCTGAGGGACTCCTGCAGAGATGTGGTGGAGTTGAGATGACTGACCAACAACAATGACCATCTTCCTATGTGTCAGGTATGACTCTCACCACTGGAGAGTTTGCGCCTGATACCCATTGATTCTAGTTTTGCTGGAAAACTGCAAGGACTAGAGAAACTCAGCAGGGCTGGCAACATCAGTAGAGACTGAAACAGAGTTGATGTTTCGAGTTCAATATGAAGTTCATATGAATCATATTGGACTCAAAACTCTACTGATTGTTTCTCTTGTGACAGAGACCCTCAGATCCAAGTTGCCCTAGCACTTTCCGAATTTAATTTCAGATCTCCAGCATGCGCAGTACTTTGCTTTTGTTTTCCTGCACCTTTAATGGTGCCTTCAACCCAAACCGCTCTGAAGCGTAGAAAATTTACAGCTGTGACAGGCACCATTCAGGCCCAGTGTGACCATATCACTTTCCAGAGCTTGGCTTGTGATCCTGCAGGTTATGGAACCTCAAGTGAACATCCAAGTATTTATAAGTGTGAAGAGGGCACTTTCAAGCAGTAAGTTCCAGACCCCCACCATCCTCTGGGGCAAAAATAAACTCAACTTCTTGTTCAAGTTACAACTCAGAGCAGAGACAGCAAAGCAAGTCTCGAATCTTAAGCCCTCTGAGAGGCCTAAATATTAACATGCATGTGGATTCCAGTTACACCCACGTCAGGCAGTACAGAGGAACTGATCAGAATCTGTAATCATGTCAGAAATAAATAATTTTAAGATAAAAATTGACGAATCCGACACAAGCATTTTACCTTACAGTGATTTGTAATGTATTATACTACACGTTCAAGAAATACTGGAGGGTCCTGGCATAGAGGGATGCTTTGGTGACTTTTTTTTGCTCTTATATAATACAAATTTAACGTTTGAAATTGTTTTGGAACTCACAGGCTGCTGAATACACTTGCCTTCAGGTCTGGGTGCGTTGCTAAGGCTCAACTCCCTCCCCCTGCACTGATAGTTCTGTTTAATAAAGAGAGTTCATAAAGAAGGTGCCTCTCACCAGGTAACACCCATCCTCTCAGCTCCGGCTCTTCCTCCAACTCTGCAATCCTTCAGCACCCTCCGGAGTCACCTCCTGCTGCAAAGATACGATCACAATATTCCGCTTTTCCTTTCAGCGCCAAAAGCGCTCTATCCTCGACCTCCTCCCCGGAGCTATTCCCACGACGACGCTCACAAACCCTCCAAGAGGCATCTCTCACCTCGCTCACAATGACTCTCCCGCAACCGCGCCCCTACTGGACAAGAAGACCTCCTGGCTGCCGCTGGCCTTCAGAATCAGGGCTTAACAGGTATCCCAGCATTAAAGATCCAGCTCACACAAGCATCTATTGCCTTTAAGACAAACTTGATCACGATCTCGTACCGTAAGTGAGGGAATTATTTAAAGCAAAATTAAGCACAATTTTTTAATTAAATAAAGAGGTATTCCATCTACACTATGTTTTCTACAATACAGCAGTGACTACTGGGTTAGTGAGATAACAAGGTGCAGAGCTGGATGAACACAGCAGGCCAAGCAGCGTCAGAGGAGCAGGAAAGCTGACGTTTCGGGCCTAGACCCTTCTTCAGAAAGGCTCAGATTCTCCAGCATCTGCAGTTCCTACTATCTCACTACTACTGGGTTAATAGTGGTTTTCTAGGATGGAGGATTTCAAGACTGGGGGCACATTTTTAAAGTGAGAGGAGAGAGATTTAAAAAAGACACAAAGGGCAAATTTTTTACACAGAGGATGGTTTGAGTGCAGAGTGAACTTCCTAAGGAAGTGATGAATGTGGGTACAACTACAACATTTGAAAGACATTTGGATCAGTAGATGAATAGGAAAGGTTTGTAGGGATATTGGCTAGGAGCAGGCAGGTGAGACTAGTTTAGTTTGGGATTATGTTCGACACAGACTTGTTGGACCGAAGGGTCTGTTTCTCTGGTGTATGACTCTATGACTACTCGTCAAAGTCTCCTGCGATAGGGTTAGATTTAGGGTTAGGGTTAGTCACCTCTTACTTCAATCGAAGAAGTCCCATGTAGTGCCAAAATGCATATTGTGCAAACTAAAGGAATCCAGAAAAAAACACATAAGAGATTAGATATCAAAATAAAGTTTAACTTTGCAGGTCTGACAGCATCTTACTGTTTTTGTGTGTTTCAGATTTTCAGCATCCACAGTTCTCTGTTTTATTATTATGTTAGAATTTAAGTTTGTATTTTATAGAGTTCATAATAAAATCCACTAAAATGAATGAAAATCAATAGATCCTTTAATTTATTCTACATGCATACCTACAGCATTTGACTGAAAGGCCTTTCACACTTAAAAATGCCAAAAATATTTTTAAAAATTTCAGTAAAGCCAGTTATTTCACATTGGTTTCTTCTGTCCTGAAGATTTCCCTCCAGACAAAATTAATTTTCAGTTGGATTTGGGATTAACAAGAAGTGAACTTTATAGATCAACAAGGAATAGACTGTTTGTTTTAAGCAAAGTTCTATATTGTTAAGAGAACATGGAGTCATAGAGTTGTACAGTACAGAAACAGATCCTTCGGTCCAACTTGACTGCCGACCAGATATCTTAAACTAATCTAGTCTCATATGCCAGCATTTGGCCTATATCCCTCTGAACCTTCCTATTCATATACACGTTGCAATAAACAAAATAAAACTGGTATTTGATTATAAGTGAATATTTATCCAATTTATCATGATCAAAATCACAAATTATATGCATAATATGCATGAACACAACTACTGTGAAATATTTTTATACAGCAGTTTAAATAAAATTGAGTACGAGGTTGATTGAGAATAGTTTAACAAGCAGTGGATAGAAAGCTCTGTAAAATGATCAAAGAGATCACAATTAAAACTTAAACAGTGAGAATTCACTATTGTTATTTAACAAGAGCTCTCTTAAGAACAGAAAAATATAGCTGGAGGAGGTAAATCTATTTCACTCAAAAATGTCAGGCACAAACGATCTACTCTATGCCCATCAAAGACAATTTTTTTCTAAAAGCACAAAGAAGGTGACCTTCAAATGCATTTCTTCCCATCTCAAAAGTAACAGTGCAAAACTGTACAATATCTCTTTCCTCCTGCATTTTGAACTATAATGGAAATCTTAATCAAAAATGACATCTATCATGTCTCAATAGAAAAAACAAAAGTTCTATAACAACGATTATTCACTCATGCAGGTTTTTCTGTTCCCGAAGGCCACACGATCCCATTCTTGACCTGAAATGTGTACAGATTTTTAATAAAAACACATGATGTCCTTTTTTTTGCCCCAGAAACTACTCAAGATATATATTGTTCTATGGGGACAACCATTTATTCTTGTAGGAAGGAAGTGCAATTTAGCAAAAGTAGAAGGTTATTTCCCACTTTGGAATAATAATGAGGGAAATAAAACCGTAACACATAACAAAATTTGGGGAATTACTTTAAATGAAACATACCCCATAGGCTTTGTTCTACTGACAATAAACAGTGACTTCCTTTCTAAAAGTAGTTTTGCATATGGATGCACAAATCAATGTAGTTTGGAACAAGTAAATGTTGGCACCAAATCAGCAATTAACAGAACTGAAGGAATCAGCCAAGACAGGCCATCTGCAAGTACTTTTTATTGTCAAAATAGACAAATAAATCAAGTTTGTATCTGATATGTTGTTATAAATCGACTGCTGCTCCATACAAGGTACTCAGAATACATTGCAAGTGTTGAAATGTTATCATATCTGCCATATCCTAAAAAGAAGAGTATCCACAATTTACTGTATCTCAAATTTTTGGTATGTTGTCATCTTAACAAAATACTTGCATAATATATGTTCATGTCTACAAGTGTTTACAGACATGCAAAATGGTGCTGCAGCAGAAGCATATTGACACAATGAGTTCCCAACAACTTTAACATTTTGATGTTATCTCTCCACTTGCTGAACAAGGTAGCACAATACTGATTGAAGCGAAGAGGCAGCTGCCAAATTGATCCTGAGGAACCAGAGCATTCTTGACCTCTGCCGAACATGTTAGTAACCGTGTACCATAGAATCACACAGCACAGCAGGAACTAGCTTGGTGGTTTATGACTATACAGTCTCTTTGGAAGGGCAATTCAACTCGTCCCAATCTTCTGCTCATTCCCCATAGCCCTGCTATTTTGCCTGTTCAAGTAATTATAGAATTATACAGTAATTACATTTCAAAGTTTTGAAAATACTTCCACCAACCAATCAGGCAGCACATTTCAAAATCATAACAACTTGGGTCTTAAAATCAAATTCTCATCTCCCAGCTGGATATGAAAGAAGTGTGAGAGCTTGGAACAATGATAGGAAAGTGAGCCTTTGGGAGAATCTGTCTCATTTTGAATGAGACTGTGGAGATTTTTTTCATTCACTCATGGGATGTGAACGTCTCTGGCTGGGCCAACACTTATTGTCCATCCCTGGTTGCCCTTAAGAAGGTGGTGGTGAGCCAGCTTCTTGAACCTCTGAAGTCCATTTGTCTGTTAGAAGAATGAAGTCCTTAAGCAATGGGCATGGACTGGGATTGCCAATTATGGAAACTGGTAAAGGGACCAAAGGTGAGTTTAGAGGGCAACTTGTATTTATATAGAATCTTTAATGTCATAAAACATTATGGGTAGAATAAAACTGACTATGGTAATGATGGAATGTGGTGTGTCTTATTGAAATAGATACATGTCGCACAGGCGCAAAACGCAGTGTATTGGCCACGTGGGTCAGGCAGAAGTGGTCAGTGCTTTTTGATCCAGTTTTTTTTTCCTCCCCCCAGGATCTGGGAAAAGAGGGGTATGATTCAGTTTTTGTTTCAACATTTCTGAGGAGGTGTTGATTCAGAGGGGTATTATAAAAACAAAGTATGATACTCAGCCACTTAATGCGATATTGGAGCCCAGACATTTTGTCGAAAAATAGGTTTTAAGAAGAATTTAAAATAAAAGGGAGATAGAGAAGCGGAAAAATGTAGGGTGAGTATTTCAGAGCCTGGAGGCCTAGGGAAGGTATAGCCATCAATGCTGGAGTGATTAAAATCAACAAAGTACAACAAGTTAGAATTAGAAGTGCATGGGTCATTGAGTTGAAGACAAAATGTTACGATGCCAGTAAAACTGATGGAACCTCATTCAATAGGCATGCTTAGACTCATGGAGACCTTATACAGGGAAAAAGGCCTTTCAGCCCATCTTGTCCTTTGCTGGTCATCAAGCATCTATCCATTCCAGTCCCATTTTCCAGCACTCAGTTCATAGCCTAGTATGTTATGGTATTTCGAGTGCTCATTTAAATGCTTTTAAATATCTTAACGGTTCCCACCTAAACCATACTTTTAAGCAGTAATTTCCAGACACCGACCCAAATGGAAGAAATTCCCCCATAAACCTCCTGCTCTTTACCTTAATGCTGTGTCCCTCCCGTCATCTCCCCCCGCTATTAACTCCACTATTAAGAGGAAAAGATCTTTCTACCTACTTTATCTATGACCCCACAACTTTGTAGACCTCAATGAGCCCTTTGTGGTCTAAGGAAAACAATCCCAGTCTAACTGGGTGCGTTCCGAGGAAGGCTCACTGGACCCGAAACATTAACCATGACTTCTCCCCACAGATGCTGCCAGACTTGCTGAGCTTTTCCAGCAATTTCTGTTCTTTTGCCCCAGTCCAATTTACAGGGGAATAATTTACAGGGGCAGAGACCGTGGGACAGATTGGATGAGCTCTTTCAAAGGGCCAGCATCAGCAGGACAGGCTGGAAGGCCTGCTTCCGATTAAAAGGAAGCAACAAGTATGGAAAGAGACCAAGTGGGAGAAAAGCAGGGAGGAGCAATTGGGTAGAATGAAACTGACTATGGTAATGATGGAACGTGGTGTGTCTTATTGAAATGGATACATGTCGCGCAGGCGCAGGAGGCAGTGTACTGGCCACGTGGGTCGGGCAGAAGTGGTCGGTGCTTTTTGATCCGGTGTTTTCCCCCCGGGATCTGGGAAAGGAGGGGTACGGTTCCGTTTTTGTTTCAACGTGTCTGAGGAGGGGCTGGTGCTTTAGTTTCGGCGGGGTGATGCCGAAAGCGAAGGCGGCTAAAGGCAGGCTAAAGGAGTCCAGGGGCCTGGCCTTGGCCGATCAGATCCTGCAGGAAGATGCCGTCAAACCGATCAGCCGCATCAAGAAGCGGG